ATACTATAGACTGTCTAGTTATAGACATGCGGATGCAAAATCCGTAGATCTGGCAACTGAAAATATACCACCATAAATTTGCCAGCACTGGAAAAAGTTCAATCACCTCATGACTCAAAGCAAAAGTCAAAACAAACCGATTTCGGCAGCAGCTTGTTTGTTGATGTTTACTTCCTCATTCGTTTTTCACCTGTTTCCGTCGGCTAATGTCCCAAAAATGAAGTGCTTTTTTCCACATTGTGAAAATGAGTCCCGAAGCGAGCTCCAAAACGTGGCATTTTTTCGATTTCCGGTGAAAAAATCTGATCGCGAGTTGTGGCTTGGATTCTGCGGGTTGACTGCTGCTTTCAGACTCTCTGATAGTCACCGTTTGTGTAGTGTAAGTTTTTTTAAATAAAATTTCAAAGATTGAGTGGTATATTTATAAAAATTTTCCCTTTCAGCTGCATTTTAAAGAGGAGGATTTGTATAGAGACACAGCTGGAAAGATCCGGAAAATCAATGGTGCTGTTCCGTGGTTTCTAGCCGTCTCTCAGTTAAGTTCAGTTCCAGAACCGAAAACGCTATGCACTGATACATAAGCTTCAGATTATGGCGAGGTGGAATACCTGGATGAAAGCTTCTGGAATTTCGACTCGGTCGATGCTCTTAACACGGATCAAGCGAATTCAAATCTGTCCACGCAACGTGAAGAATTTTGTGAAGCTGCTGTTGACCTAAACGGATCGGATGCCGAAAATTCAAATCCGCTAACACAGGAAAAGGCTTCGTCGTGCTATGAATGTTTTAACGCTGTTGAGTAAGTTTTTAATTATTAATTTTTGTGGGGTTTTATTTTGATCTATTGATTTTTTTTTTCAATTAAGATTGACCGGTACAAAAACCGAAAACCAGGACCTAAAAAGAAAACTAGAAGACTATGAGGACCAGTTGTCAAAAATTAAAAGCGTCGTGAACGATGACCAATACTCCTTAATGACCGGGTTGAAGAAGATTGCCAAATGGTCAGACGACAGCGTAACTGAATGATTCAGGACCAGATTTATTTGTGGTTCTACAGCATACGAGGTAGAGCGTAAAAAACGCTTTTTGCCTAGTACACGAACCCTCCAGGAGAAACTTCAAAACATACACTTCGACCATGGCTGCTTTGATGAAGTTTTGAAACTTCTACAGCACAAGGTGAAAAGCATGTCTGAAATGGACAAATACGCTGCTATTGTCTTCGACGAAATGGCTATTCAGCCTGGCTCGAACTACTGTTCTAACTTGAAAAAGTATGTTGGTCCTGTCACACTTTCCGGTAATACCCCGTTCACATTACAGCGTATATCACGTGATATACGCTGTCTTGCAATGAGCACTCATACATCAAGTTTTCACTGGAAATCCTATGTATGAGTGCTCATTGCAAGACAGCCTATATTACGTGATATTGGCTGTAATGTGAACGGGGTATAACGGTGAGCTAGCGAACCATCTATTGGTATTCATGCTAGTTGGTTTGAGTCGTTGGTTGTTGGTTCTTAAATCTACTTTAGGACCAAGCTTCATCCAAACCGTTTCAATAATTTTTCACATTCGAACACTTTTCTCTGGAAAATCGAGGTAAATTGTTCTCACTAACTGCGTAAGCTTTTATCAATTTCAAATTTAACTAAATAATACGTTTTACTTTCGAAACGTAATATTCCAAATAATTTTAATAAATCTATAATATCCTATATAACAATACTTCCCCCAACAAAAACGTGTGACATTTCTTCTGCTCGTTTGGATACACGCTCTGACAGTTCTTTTGGATACGTCAAACTGACATCTGCATGTCTATAACTAGACAGTCTATAGGTGTCAGTCCTTCAGGAAGTATTATCTTTATTCCATCTGCTTTTGGAGGAAGAATTTCCGACAAAGAAATCACAAAACATTCGGGATTCCTTTTGCAGCGATGGAACATTCCAATGCCAGCTATTGACCAGATCCTGGTTGTTTCAGCAGCACTAGTCAACTTGTGCCCAACTGTTGATCCTGCATGATGTTACTTAGTTTGGTATTTGTTAAGAGCGAGGTTAGGAGAACAAAAATTGCATTAGAGCGATTAACTATAACGACATATTCCCCCTTATTCTGCGCCGCGAGTGAGGTGAGATGACTCGCTGTCACTAGTGAGGTGACAAAAGTCACCGCGAGTGAGGTGACTCTCCGTGCAAATCAAATGGAGAGTCACCTCACTCGCGGTGACTTTTGTCACCTCACTAGTGACAGCGAGTCACCTCACCTCACTCGCGGCGCACGCTCACGCAAACCAACAGCATCGTCAGGAAGGGGAAAATTTCCCCTACCCGATGTTGCTGTTGTGTCGCGTGGGTGTACTTCAAGTAGTGAGTAAAGGGCCCGCAAACCATTTGTTTACAAATGGCTTTTGTGCCGTTTTCAAATGTTAGCACTGAATGGATGAAACTGGGTAACGGTTACTCAGATGATGACATTTGTCAACTGAGTAAACCTTACCCATTTCGATATAAACGAATAAACGCTCTAATGAATGCTTTGCATATACATTTTTTCGTCCGGGAAGAAAATTAAATTTGGTGTCGAATCCTTTAAACTGGTCCTCTCCAACTGCATACGGCGGTCTTATACCAACAATCAATACGAAACTAACGATTTTCAATTGGCTCACCACTTTAGTAGCCTATTGGTCCCAAGCAAACGATTAACGTACCCTATTCTAGTTGAAATTCTATTACTACACTATATTTGTTTTGATTCGCTATGAAAGTTTGACAGATAACATCAGGGGTGTGTGGATTCATGCAGAACATGCAGGGGTGAGTGAAATAGCTTGGGACTGCTTGGGACCGTTGTTCTGGTACTGAGTGAGCCGAAAATAATAATGAGTGGCCTTAGAGTTACCTCTATGCTTATACTACGGCTAGGCATTTTATATCCAGGCCAACCTCGCTCAAGGGGCCTGAGCTTCATCCGTTTGAAGTTCACCATCTCATCGCGAATCTTCTTGAGCTTGGCTTCCCGCTCCTTATATTCCGGAATCTGCTGCTGTTGGACAAGCTCGCGACCTCGAATAATCGGCGCTGACAATCCTGGCCATACAATGTTGGCCTTACCGAAACCCGGCACCTGTCCTTTGTTCATATCCTTGGGAGTAATACGTCCGGATCCCTTGCCTCGTCTTCGTTTCTTGCTGGCACTACTAACCGAAATGATTTATATCAGAACCATTTACCCAAAATCTGGGTACACGGTTAGAAAAAAGTACCCAAAATTAAGTTCTTTTCACTCATCTCGGCACTATAGTGCAGGAACCCAAAAGTAGGTAAAGCGGGTCAAAGTTATTTTCATTTACTTGTATGCAGTTCGTATGGAATTTTCCACTAGCTTTTTAACCAAAAGTAAGTTAGTTGTACCCAACAGTAGGTAAATATTATTATACCCAACGTTGGGTTCCCACACTTTACTACCCTTGTTGGGTGGTTTTGCTCCTCTGTTTTTGACAACATTAGAAGGAGAAAAGGAGACAAACTAGTCAAAAGTAGGTAAAAGTGAACTTTCCGTTGGGTACTTTTTTCTTACCGTGTAGATCTCACTCATCAGAGAAAAACCAGTTTACTCATTTTTTGACAACTCCATACAGCATGCAAAAATAAGTGCGATCCACCCAGTCACTGAGTATACACCGACTCTAGTACAAAACAACGTAAATATTTACCTTTTTTAACAAAACCCAGGTAATCATGAAGTTTGATTATTGAAAACAATTTGAATGAAGAAATGAGACCAACTGCTGCCATGATTACCTGAGATTTGTCAAATATTGTAAATATTAACATCGATTGTATCGACGAATATGTGAGATCTCGAAAATCTCCAAGTTCTTAAAATATTTTCCAAGCCCATTCCAAACCATTAATCTTAAAATTTATCGGAGTACCTGAGTTTAGAAAAGTATCCAAGCTTAAAATCAGGATTTTGTTTGGAGTCCACAATTTATATTTCTTTGAATGAAATCTAAAAAAATAGAATAAAGACAGGATGTCTGAATGTAATCGACTTTCTATTTCGTTAATAATTCAGCTGCGAACACATTCCTTGATTCATGTGCCATTCTGGATGCTAGATGAGAACCTCCTTTATTAAACTATGTGGCAGAAATAGCGCAAAATCTGTTTATAAAGCTGTGGCTATCAAAAGAGAACGTCGATGAAAAGAATCGATCAAAGTCACTTACACCCCTTTCCTTCTAACCCCCTCAATTCTATATTGAACTGCAAAAGCTTTACAAAATTAAAATCCTGATTTCAATATCCCTTCTCAGACAAAGGTCTTGAAAATTCTCAAAGTTCAATCTTTCACTTTTCAAAATTCGACCTGATGACCCATTCGGCCTAATGGCGTTCGGCCAAGTACGCTACAGTCAATTCAGTGCCAACATTTCAAAGGGGCGTAATTACATTTGTAAACAATGGCTTTAGCCGTCAATTTCTCGCAAATAAAAGCTTGCACCAACCGGTAGAAGAATGTTTCCTCTACCAGCTAGCATTGTTAATTTGGATAAGTGAGCTTTTATTTACGAGAAATCGACGGCTAAAGCCACTGTTTAAAAAAGCAATTACGCCTCTTTGAAATGTTGGCACTGAATTGTAAAAACTGATATGAAATTTTTCATAAGAAACAAAAATGCAGAGGATGTAAAAAATCCACAAGACGACGACTTCATTTTTAGTTGGGGTTAATCATCTCAGATACAACTATTGAAGAGTTAATTATCTCAGATACATTAACACCAACTCATGTCAGATGGAACAAGCTCGGCATAGATTTATGAAGTTCACAGATCAAAGCTTCTGCACTCGCTTCGAGTGGATAATACCCACCACCGCCCAAGATTTCCAACACCCACATATCTCTCTCTGAACGCAAGTGCCTCAGCCCTCAACAGCTCCCTGGAAATCCAAAAATAAACGCAAGCATAAACTTACCTACTTTTCATCTGCAGTTGAACCACCCAGTGAACGGAGCATGTCGATCAACTTCAATTCCGCGCTCCGAAATTGAGTTTAATTTTCCCGTACACTTAACCCCGCGATGGTTTCCGATTTAAATTAACACACCAATTGATGGTTCATCACACCACCGTTTAAATATTCTTCGAGCGCTTCATTTCCACAAAATCATCAAAACCACTTAAAGCAAGTTTAAAGCATCTATCACAAACACAAAAAAAAACCGTTGAATATCCACTTGGCATCAATCCTCCTTCGTCACAGTGATGAACCACTTGGTGCAAAGGATCCCCATTCAATTCCAAAATGCGACCATATCCTTCAGAACCTCTGCCGATTCAAACTTGATTGCACCCACACGACGGGCGCGTGCTGGTTAGGCTTTCTTCCGACCAGCCGGAATGCCTTTCACTTTCACTTACCAGCTTTACATCGTACACCGATGGTGTGTCGATGGAAGTGGCCTAAATTTCTTGGGCGAGCACATATATCCGGTTGTTCGTTCCGTTCCGTTCCGTTCGATTGGAAATCCGCGACCAGACTGACAGTTCCGGCCTCCGAGATCAAAGTAATAAACTCAAACTCATATCGAACGTCGTGGCTGTTGAATCCCTATAGATGTACTGCGCAGGTCCAGTGGCCGGTGTCGGCACGACGAAGAACCACGTGTCGCTCGGCCCGAAGGTTTGTTTGATAACAGATGCTGCCTTCTGTTCGGGTTTCTGTTGTTGCCGGCTGCCCCAGAGTGTCCTACTCCCCAATGCAATTAAAGGCGATCCCGAGAAGTGCGAGGGTGGCGAGGGAGTTTAGTCACGTGTTGGTTGATTCCTCCCGGTTTCGCTCTTTCTCTCTCCGCGGTAGGACTAAATGGAAGCGCTGCTGCAGAATGGTCGAAAAGCGGCGCTGCGAAACTGCTTTTGAAAGGGCGGTTTGTTTATAGGCTGTGGACCATTTGCCCAGTTAAAAGTGACATTTCGAAAGTTATTATTTATGTTCTAAAATCCCTGTACCCCGATCGATGGGTTTTCGAGCAGAACTCAGTCAAAATTTAACTTCTTGTCTGTCGATAATAACCACGCTTGGATAGCAGGGTTAATCGATAACTTTCCATCTGTCCAATTTTAATCAAAAGTTAAAAAATCCGTTTCCCCGGAATGATGTATTTTGCGGGTAATTTGGAAATCACTGTTAATTACCGATCGTGCAAAAACTATCGGTATCGTAAGGGCATCTTTAGTTAGCGGTGCACCGCGGTGGTCTGATTTATGTCACATTTGAAGCAGAAATAGATCAAACTGTGGGCACGCAGCGGTTGGTCTATAATTGGCCGTTCTGCTTCAAACGTCATAACCTACTGACTCCCTGATTTTGTACACGGTTTTTTTTTATCAGGGCAACTACCACGACAGCAATGTCTCCTCAAATTGTTTCCAAATTGGTCATGGACAACAACAGCTGCTCTTTTTGCAGTATTAGCAGCTGCGACACGTAGTCCAATCCGTCAAGTGATGCTGTCATAATCTGGACGAATGCTTTCCAAGAAGTTCATTCTACTTTCGCATTTCTATTAGAACTTCTCCCCAAGGATCTTCCTTCTGGTACTGCATTTTAGCTCTTTTTGCCCAATTGGCCTTGAGCAATGTTGCTTATTCCAATCCTGAACAACACGGTCTGCAGTCCACCGATGACGGCATACTTTACAACACCGGTTCTGAATATACTGCACCGAATCGTAGCTGCCACGTTTCTGAAACTGTCAGCCCAGAACGCATTGCCCCAAGGAAGCCCCTACGCCTCTCAACGCAGTCGTGTTTACTGATTCCTGCCACCGTAGCCGTTCTGGCCGTGTGGTTGAGTACGGTGAAGGGGTCTTCCAACCTTCGATTTCAGGCCTCGCCTGATCAGCCTCCACGTTCGAACTTCGCCTTTCCGATTGTCGACCAATGTCATCCGATGGACTTGTGGTGTATTATCAAAATGTTCGTGGCCTGTGAACTAAGATTGACAACTTATTCTTGACTGCTGTTGAGTCCAACTACAATGCAATAGTTCTTACCAAGACCTGGCTAGATGACCGAATTCACTCAGCACAATTCGCAATGACCGTAACCGGATGAACAGTGCCAAATCACGTGGTGGTGGCGTCTTGATTGCGGTTTCCAAACGACTGAACTGCTGCCTCGATTCTGCTCCGGTCAGTACTTCTCTTGAGCAGTACTCCTCCTGACCGTAAATCTAATTTGAGCTGCGTTGAGAACCATACCAGTTCCATTGGTGCTGTATTGTCCCGATTACATCACAACGATCTAGCTCTGCTATTTGGCGCCTACAACCAGTCTGGGATTGTTTGGAATATTTCCGCGAATGGTTTTTTTATCTAGTTCGTTTATTTGGGAGGCTCAATCGCGTTAGCTTTACGGAGCCGATAATTCATTGTTCACTGTGTGTAACAAAATTCACTTAATTCTATGTCTAGTAGGAGTTGGGCCGATTACTCGCGGCTTACTCGAGGTTAGAAGGGTACATTTTCGAAGGATAGGATCAGGGGAGGAGCTTGGGGTAGGGTTTCGTTGTCTCATCAGAGCGTTGTCGCCAGTATGAACGGTAGTGCTGTTCTAGCTTCGTCCGGAGTTCGACCGGCTATGGTGGGTGACCAGTGGGCGACGATGAGACTCATCGAGACGGGGGGACAAGACAAACAAAAACTAATAAAGAGAGACAAAAGACAAAAGGAATTAAATTCTTATACTAGACATTTGAAGAAAAACATAAACGGACTGCATATAGCAGAGATCACGGGTTGCCAACACGTCTCTGATAGGAACATAGGGTTGTCTTCCTTGGGCCTCGAGGGTATTCAAAAGTCGCTCTCTGGCGGCGTCATTATCCGTACATTGCCAAACTGCGTGTTCGATGTCATCGTAACCGTTTCCACACCGACAGATGTTGCTGTCCACGAGGTTTATTCTATTGAGATGAGCATCTAGCGAGTAGTGGTTGGACATAAGTCTACTCATCACGCGAATGAAGTCACGACTTAAGCCCAAGCCTTTAAACCACGCTCTCGAAGAAACATTAGGAATAATTGAATGTAACCACCGTCCAAGATTTCCAGTGTCCCAATCGGTTTGCCAACTCGAAAGGGTACTCTGACGCACTAAATGGTAAAATTCATCGTGTGAAATTTGCCTGTCATAAAATTCGCCTTCCTGCGCGCCCACCTTTGCGAGAGAGTCCGCCTTCTCATTGCCTGGGATTGAGCAATGTGAGGGGACCCATACAAAGGTAATCATATATGATCTTTCGACCAGCACACACATCTGCTCCCTTACCTTTGAAAGGAAATAAGATGAGTGCCTACCTTGTTTCATCGACCGAATAGCCTCAATCGAACTGAGACTATCCGTGAAGATGAAGTAATGGTCTGCGGGCATGTTGGAAATCATCCCCAATGCGAAGTTGATTGCTGCCAGCTCAGCAACAAAAACGGAACAAGGTTCCTGAAGTTTGCGGAAGGCGCTAGAGTTTTCATTGAAGACACCGAAGCCAGTGGATCCATTGAGACGGGACCCGTCTGTAAAATATCTTTTCATGCAATTGACTTGTTGGTACTTTTCAGTAAAAATACGTGGGATAATAATAGGTCGAAGTTGATCGGGAATCCCATGAGTTGCTTGTTTCATGGTCAGATCATATTCAATTGAGGAACTGCGATTGGTGAAGTGAACACGGTCTGGAGTATAACAAGGAAGACACATATCTGATGATATGTAATGGTGGTAGATTCTCATAAATCGAGATTGTGTGTTCAGCCCAAGAATTTCTTCAAAATTTTCAATTATAAGTGTGTTCGTCACTCCGCATTTGATTAGTATTCTGAGAGAGAGCTCCCAGAAACGGTTCTGGAGGGGTGTTACTCCTGCCAGAACCTCGAGACTCATGTTATGCGTTGAGTGCATACAGCCTAGAGCAATACGCAGACAACGATATTGAATTCGTTCCAATTTTATTAGGTGACTTTTTCTTGCCGAGAGAAAGCAGAAAGAGCCATCAGGCATGGAAAATCATTTGCATTCATTTCGTGCATTCATTAACATTCATTTGTCCCAAACTTTTTTCAACAACTGAATTCCGCAAAATAATGTATGAAGTTTTTGTAGGTATTTTTGTTAACTACAACTTTAGTCAACAACTCAAATCCGTATCTCTTATACATGTCGAACCAGAGCAAACAGAAGCCACTACTGTTTATCAGTGAATGTATTTTACATTCACTGAAAAACAGTAACAAGTTCTGCCCGCTCTAGTTAGTGATGCATAAGACATACAGATTTGAGTAATGGCCAAAAGTTGTAGTTAATAGCAAAACCTACAAAAGCTCTATACATCATTTTGTGGAAGGCTGTTGACGAAAAAAGTTAGAGACAAATGAATGTAAATGAATGCATGAAATGAATGTTAATGATTTTCCATGCCTGAGAGCCATACTCTAGAACAGAGAGAATAGTTGTTTTATAAAGCGTTATGAGGTCTCCCGGATGAGCACCGCACCATGTGCCGCAAATTGAACGGAGAAAGTTGATCCTCTGCTGACATTTTTGCTTCAAGTACGTAATATGAGCATTCCAAGTGCACTTTGAATCAAACCAGACCCCAAGGTACTTGAAAGACAATGATTGGGTAATGTTTCTGCCCAAAAGATTAAGCTGCATTTGGGCTGGGTACCGCTTTCGAGTAAACACTACCAGTTCAGTTTTCTGCGGCGAGAATTCGATCCCTAGATTCATAGCCCAAGAAGACAAGTTATCTAAGGAATTTTGCAATGGTCCTTGCAAGTCCACGGCATGTGGACCTCTTACGGAAACCACACCGTCATCTGCAAGTTGTCTTAGCGTGCATTGTTCTGCCAAACAGTTGTCGATATCTTTGACGTAAAAGTTATAAAGAAGAGGGCTGAGACATGAGCCTTGGGGCAGGCCCATGTAGCTAATTCTGGAAGTTGTCAGTTGTCCAAGGGAAAAGTTCATTTGCTTTTCTGACAACAAATTGTACAAGAAATTATTTAAAATTCCAGAAAGTCCACATCTGTGCAGATTGTCTGACAGAATTTCAATGGAAACTGAATCAAAAGCCCCCTTAATATCCAAGAATACTGAAGCCAATTGCTCCTTGTGCGCAAAGGCCAGTTGAATATCTGTGGAAAGCAGCGCTAGACAATCGTTTGTTCCTTTGCTCTTGCGGAACCCAAACTGTGTATTTGATAGCAAGTTATTTGATTCGACCCAGTGATCGAGTCTCCGAAGGATCATTTTCTCCAACAATTTCCTAATGCACGAAAGCATAGCAATCGGACGGTATGAGTTATGGTCAGACGCTGATTTGCCAGGTTTTTTAATGGCTATTACTTTGACCTGTCTCCATTCAGGCGGTACAATGTTGTTTTCTAGCAAGGAATTGAATAAATCTAGCAAGCGT